TTTCTCCCATCCCATCCCCAATAAGCATTATGTTTGTTTTCTTCCTTTTCATGTCTATGTTCTCGCCATAAACTCCCTTCTTCACATAGATGACATACCTCCTCTTGCTATAACTTGGAGCATCATAGATGGCATCTGTGATTGTCTGGTAACGACCACTCCCATCCAACGCCACGACTGCGTCTACATGCATTCCAACTGGACTAGAACGTAGAAGCTCTTCATCACCTTTGGTAATCCACTCGGGGAATTCTGAACTTGCATTTTTGGCGCTTTTTTGAGGCGGTTGTAAGGGTAAGCTGCGCAACTGAGTGTACATAGCGAAAACGTTGGCTATGAGTTGGGTAACTTGTTTCAGGCTTCCTCGGATGAAGCTTTCCAGACGCCTGTCTGTTCCTTCAAAGCCCTCAAGGCATGTATCCTGGTTGCTCAATGCAGCACTTAACCAGGCTTCCAAGTTGCCTTGGTAGCGTAGATATCTTTCGCCTGCTCGGATTCTCATCATCTCTGATAACGACCAAGCCAGCTCAGAGACAGAGAAATCCAGGAGCTCCTTGCAGTCTTCGATAGCCATCTGTTCGCGATAACTAACAGAGAAGGAATTAAACTTTGTTATGGATTGAACGGCCAGCCTTGCTTCATCGAGGGTAGCCTTGAGTGCAGCAGTTAGCACAGACTCTGGGGTTGAAGGGCCTGAATTTTGAACCTCAGCGCGGATATTCATTAGGCATGAATCCTGGCTTTCAACTTCCTCACAAGCTTGAAAGATCAAGGGTTCTTTGGTTAAATCTTCGCTGGTAAGAGCATGAAGAGAAGGCAATACAATGAGAATAAGAAGAAACTTGGCCAAGATCATTTTGGACTTGAGAAGGGTGGAAGAAAGGTCGATGATCGTGGGTTCTTTTAGGAGAGGAAAAACATAAGTTTATATTAAAGGAATGGAGGAATTGTTTGCATTGAAAGAAAGGAAAGGTCTTTTGAGTCCTAAATTTCCATTCTGTCACGCTTTATTCCCAGGAAAAGTTCCGAGTAGTGCCTTCCTTTGGGTGAAAAGTGCAATATTCTTTGATATTTTTCAGCTTCTTTTACGCTGTAGAAATTAACACACAGTTCACATTCATTTGCATTCTACAGACTCTGCTCTATGAAACAAGCCGGGTTTGGATTCCTTTCGTGGGTATTTAACTAAGAATGACAATTGCCCTTCATTCAAGTCTAAATGAATAAAGTATATCTAGAGCCCTCACAAATATATTAAGCGTCTCCCTCCGTGGGAATCAGAAAAACACGAGTGATTCTTAACTCGTGTGCATGACAAGTTCATTCGTGACCTTCCTAAGAAAGTTCAAGATAAAATGCTATTTAATCCCATCTGATCTTGCAGCCTTTGGCATGCAGGTTTTCAAGTATTTCTGAAGAAAGCAAGTAGCTTAGAGGAGCAAATAACTTAACCTTTTTTATCTGGACAAAGCAGGCCCTAAGGGCAAGTTCAAACCCTTCAACTGAAACATTGTTGAGGTGCACCAACTTTGCATCTTGGAGGTGCGTCAAATTCGCCATCACCATGCACAATGCCATGTCTGAGATTGCACAATAACTCAAATTTATCTGCCACCATAATAAAAGCATTTAAGTTTTTGGAGTAAGAAAAGCTTAAAAAATCAACGAATATCTTTTCTTTTACATTTGGTCCCATAAAGTTCAATGCACATTATACAAGTAACCTGACAAGATTACGATAAAGCTTCCTCACATAAAAATACATTTCCTATAATGGTCAAACTCATGATGCACTGCTTAAATAAAACTAGAACAAGTGAACAAGAAAGAATCAATTCTTCTTTTCTGTACCTCCATATCCTCTCAATCTTTCTGATTTTCTCCTTCAAGTTTACACATAAAATTTGATCTTTTTCTAAAAAAATAACTGCTTATCTATGAACAGGTACATATGCAAGGTATAAATAATTGAAATTTAGGAGGCACTGCCACTAAGTCAAAAAAATTTTATCTTCTACACAATTTCAATTTTTGAAATCTATTAGTAAAGATTACAATTTTTATCAATGCAATAAAAAGCAAGTATCTCCTTCATTAAGGAATTTTATAAAATTTAATTTACTTAAAATTAACAAATAAATGACTTTAATCATTGACATTAAAAATAAATCAATAAGTTTTTTTCTAGGTTAAAGAAATCCTTAAGTTATGATGAAACTTAAAATCAACATTGTTTTATAAATTTTAGAATCTTAAAGAGAGTTTTGAAAATTCAAACTCAAAGTTTAAATCTATTATTATAGAAATTATGCAAAAGATATAAGCAAAAGAAATAAAATTTAAAAATTATAAAAGATTTGTAGGAGCATAATACATTGTTTGCAAATAATTATGAAGCAAAATAGCTGAATCAAGTTCTTTTTCGAATTGCTAAAACACCCTTATTTAATCAATAGACTTATATTTCATCAAAACATTAAAAGAATAAGGGAATTATAAGCATTTTTTTAATTTGAGGGGGACAAAAAAATGAGAAAAAAAGTCCAAATTACCTGTGGGAAGCATGGTAAGACATTCAGAATTTAAATCTGAGTAGATGGATTGCATTTTATGAGTCTCAAGGCAAAGGAAATTTGGATACCATGTTTCCTTCCAATCATAACAAAAATAAAAACCATGTTTCCTTCAAATTTTCCTCACATCTCGCTGTTACACTCTTGATTGTTATTATTCTCATAAAACCTAAGGAAAGATACTATTTAACTCAAATTCAGGAAATTACCTGTCGAATGTTCTTTGCATGACAAGCAAGAGCCCAAAAGCTTGAGTCATCAACTTTGTCACAATGTTTCAAATCCAAGTCAGATAGTCTCTTACACCCAGCTGCAACTGCTGCCAAACCAGCACCTGTGACTTTCTCTAGCCCTCGCATCTCCAGGTCGGAAAGCTCATGCATATGGCCAACATACTCCAACCCTCTGTCAGTTATTCCACTGCAGTAGGACAAATTCAGCTTCATCAAATTCTTGCAACCTTTAGATATGGCAGCTAAACTCTCGTCACCAATACCTGTACAGCTACAATGCCAAAAATGCAGAAATTAAAAAACAGAAAAATTTTACCTGTTGTTATTTGGTAATCAATAATACTACAAAGATGAAGTGTACATGCAAATTTACCGGTATAGATCCAGCTCATGAATCTTTGGACAGTTGGAACCAATGTTAAACAGTCCTTTGTCTGATATGTTCATGCAAAGTCCTAATTTCAAGCATTGTAGTCCTGAACAACTAGACAAATATTTGAGCCCTGCAGATGAACAATGTGCAACCTTTGAAGCAGTTTGAACATGCCAACAAATTTTGACACTTGATAAAATTATAGAAATATCAAAATAACATAACAAAAATTCAATGATAAATTAAGAGCACCGGTTGGTGGGCGGTGGGGATAGGGAGAAATGCTGTTGAGAGGCATGTTTTTGAACTTAATTAAAGGCAACTACATTTCATGGTTAGAATGACAAAAAACTATGAATGGGATATATTTAACACTAACCTTTGTCATTTACACCATGACAATCAGTAAGATCAATTTCCTCTAGTAGTAAGCAGAAGGAACTGAGCTGATAAAGACTCTTTTCAGTAATCATGTCACAAGACTCCAACTTCAGGCAGATGAGGTTTCTGCATGAGTCAGCTATAGCAGAAATTGCAGCATCAGTAATGGAGTGGCAGCATGTGAGATTGAGGATTCTCAAGTTTACACATCCAGATACAAGTTGCATGATGCCCATATTGTTCACCCCAACACATTTGCTCAACCCAATTTCTAACAACGACTTGCAGTGGGCGCTAATTACTGAGAAGCTAGTCTCAGAAATTCTAGACCCATCAATTCTAATCAATTCAAGATGTTTTAAACCCTTTAAGCAGTGAAGAAAAGTTGTACACAGCTCCTGTAACAAAAGCAGAGGTCCATCTATGTGAAATTAACCAGGTAATACTGGAAAAATTCAAAATCGAAGCAGGCAAGAAAATGCTTACTGGAAAACTATAACTTGCATTAAGCTCTCGAAGACCACTGTGCCCTTTAATTACAGAGATTAAACCAGACGAACTAACACATTCACACCTTGATACATCCATTCCCTATAGGCCATACAAAAAGAACACCATTGAGAATTCGACAGGATGGCAGAACATAACATGTTACCATTCAAAAATTATTATTTTTCTTTCTTTGTGTATTAACATGAATACAAGAAAGAATTTAATGGGTTTAAGTCTATTACCTGCAGCATAGGGCATCCATTCTCAAGAAACTGCAACCCAAAATCATCAACTACAGGACACCCCACCATAGCCAAAACCTCAAGCTTCTTCATAGAAGCAATAGAATGAAGAGACTCATTTCTCACCTAAACCCAATACAAATATCCAATTTCAGCACTACATCAGGAAATACAAAATAATACTGTCTGATTTCTCCAAATATACAACAAATAAGATTTATGAAAAATGGGAGGAGAAGGAATAATAAGATCAAACAATATCCAAAATATCCATGGGAAATCTCCTTTTATTAAACTATCCAAGGGAAAATTAACACTCTAATTACCAATGAGTTTATTTTGAACCTGCTTGGACATCCTAATGCATAGTATCTCATTTAAACCACGTCACAACAATATGCTTTGTTCAATTTAAGCTGAATTCTCTTCTTTTTTAAAAGCTTCCAATGAAGAACGATATAAAGCTGAAATCTACATTCCACATATTTTTCCTTTCATTCACGAAATTTTCCCAATAACAAACGTGACTCTAGAAAATAGAAAACCGAAAAGGAAAGCTCGAACTTTATGGTATTATTCTCAAGACAAAGAATCAAAAGATCTCTTCCTCTTTCCAGATTTTCATTTTTCTCATGAATCAAACAAAGGAAACCATCTAAATGATAACTAAAGCAGAAACAATAAATCAACTTCCAATGTTACATTAAAAACATATTCTCATCAATCAAACGAACTAAACAATAACATTTTAAACAGAGCAAAACAATCAACAAAAGCCACAACAGAAACAAGTTTTAGTGAACAAGAGAAAACGGACCTTGAGGTAGGAAATGTCAAGGGACTTCAAATCGACACGTTTCTTGCACAGAAGACCGATGCCAAGATCCGTTATCTCCATGCACCACTTCAAGCTGAGGCACTCCAGCCTTCCGCACCTCACGGCGATCTTTGCCAACCCCACGTCGCTCAAATTCAAGCACTTATCCATCTTCAAAACCCTTAACCCCGCCGCATGCGACAGAGCGGCCGCCTCCCTATCTCCGAACCCGCAACAGTACGACACGTCCACAATTTCTAGCAAAGGGCACACATGCACCAGAGCTTCCAAACCAAAGAACCCCAATCCAGTGGCTCTACTGAGCACCAAACACTTCAACCCCCGAGCCCAACTACCCCAACTCAGTGAGTCCGATTCCGAGCCCGACCCATGTCGAGGCAAAAGCATTGAAACAGTCCCGTCATCTATGCGGGGGCAAACCGAAAAGTCCAGACTTTGGAGTCTCGTGTATTTCCTAAGTAGACCCGGCAAAAACTCCACCCGGAGAACTCGCAGATGATTCTGGGTAACCAAGTCGACCCGGAGAAACTCTCTGCACACAAGCCTCCACGACTTTCGATCCGACCCAGAAGAGAGTTTCTCATAGACCCGGATGAGGAGATCTTCAGTAAAACTAAGAATGTTCTTTGTTGATCCAGACGACATTTGAATTCTAGCAGAAAATTAAGATTCCAAAGAGAAGAAGAAATTAAGGATTTCAAAAAACGAAGTATCTTCGGAGGATTTTCAGGTGGGGACGAAGAGGAAGAGCAGGCGGAGGTGGAGGAGAGGGTGGTGAGTTGGTTTGCAGAGAGTGAGAATCAGATTGAAGCGGTTCGTTCGGGTCGGATCCATTTCAGTTCCGGAGTCTTTTCCAGTGTTCCTGAAGAAGAAGAAGAAGAATCGGAACTTTTCTTCCGTTAGGTGAAAAAACCAGGCAGTTTGTATAAGAAGAAGAAGAAGATGGGGAGTAATGATTCAGTGCGGTAACAACCTTGGATTTAAAGAGGACAACGAATCAAATACAGCCACGTTGAAATGATTTTAACGTGGCAGGATATTACTGGTTGGTATTTTTTTATAGTGTACGGCCTTCAACACCGACACTTTGCTCGAGTTAATTTATGAGATGGTGAAATGACTAATCTATCCCTGAATTATAACGCTTTTCTCGCGAGAATTAGAGGGAGGTTTTGGGGATTACGGGGATGGAAAATATGAACCGTTGGATGGAAAAAAACTTAATTATTTGATAGGAGATGATATGGACACGTGGAGAGAGGAAGAGGAGGGAGCAGGTGAGGTGGGCGGTACCGGAAAGTACGCGAGGAGGAAACCGTGGGAAAACTGTGTTTTGTACGGTTTTTTTAAAATTAACATTTTTTCTCCTTTGGGGGTGGGTCCCAGAAACGTGCAAGGGACCGTACCTATCTGGGTTTGATTTTTTTGAAAACTAATTTTTTTATACAGGGGACCTTAAGATAGATAAAACCTAAAAGTGTGATGAGTGACGTGGTTTTGTCGTGTGGCGTTCTGTGGGGACCACTGTTGATAATTTCACCCTGAAATCAATTCATCATAATAATCTTTTATTCTTATTACTATTAGAGAGTGATAATGATGTTTTATTAATCTTTCTATTTTAGAATTATAAATATTGTTTTAATTTTATATTTATATTAACCATGGGAATTTCACTTGGGACTTCGGATCCATACCGTCAAGTCACGTTTAAAAGTAAGTTAAATGTTAAATTTAGTCCTCAACTTTAACAAATACATATTTGTGGTCTCTCAATAATTTTTTATATTTTTTTGATCCCTTGACTCTAAAAATTACACAATTTTGGTCCTTTTATCAATTAAGTATGATGTGGCAGTTAAATAATTTCATATGGCATTGTCTTTTAATTTTTTTGATGATGTGGCAATAATATATATTATAATTATGTTATATAAATAAATAAAAATATCACATAGATTAATATGTATATTTTAATTAAAAACAAATAAAATTACCTTATTATCCTCACCCTCCCAATCCCTCTTCTTCCCCTTCTTTCTTTCTCTTTCTTTCTTTCTTTCCTACCTTGGGATAGGCTGGGTTCCATCGAACCCAACTGTTGGATTCAGTGGAAACCCAGCCTTGGTTGGTTGACGAACCTAGCAAGGCTGGGTTTTGATGAACCTAGCAAGGCTGGGTTTTGACGAACCCAGCCTTGGTTGGTTCGTGCGACTAGCTTGGTTTTGTCGAAGGCTGGGTTCATCAAAACTCGATCGGCATGGTTCCGATGAACCCAACCTTGCTGGTCGCGCGAAGTTTTGTCGAAACCTAGCCTATCTGGGTTCTTCGAAACCTAGATCGGCTGGGTTCCAATGAACCCAACATTGCTGGTAGCACAAACTAGCCTTGCTGGTAGCACAAACCAGCCTTGCTGGTAGCACAAACCAGCCTTGCTGGTAGCACAAACCAGCCTTGCTGTTTCGACACTGGGTTCATGTTTTTTTCATTCTTCTTTCGATTTTCATTCCCAGTTGTTAATAAATTTGGGAGTTGATTTACAAT